GAAAAAAAAACACGTTCCAGGTGCCAGATCCCTTTAAAGTATGAAGCCCCGCGATTAATAAATGTCACGATCCCGTCAGCTGGACGAATCATAGTATAGGGGGCTGCAAGCTACCACTGAAATGCCCAGGTGACGTCATAAGCGAAATTCAAGTTGATTGCGATCCTAGTTCGATCTAAGATGGGCCGTTTTAATGCAGGACGACCGCTGCTTCGCTGCCCATGGCCATGACTTGGGATGACGGCGTTATCGGGGTGCCGTGGGACTCTAGATAAAGCCCTTATGCGTGGGAGGAGTAACGTCATCGAGGTGATAAGTGACCTCACTGACTCCAACCCGGTCACAGCATTCCTCGGCGGCCAGGGGATGTTAGCACACTCGTGGTCGAAGGGGCAGCCCATGCGCCTACGCCGGCGCGTGTAAGTCGACGCTGCAGCTGAGCTGTTGCTGTATCGACACGACAAGCCACGCCGTAAGTGTTGTCCTGCACATTGCTGAGCTGGTTCGACTCAAAAACACTGAGGAACTCGCCAGCGGTCACCCCGCCGTAAACCACTCAGCGACACCGGTGGCGCCATCGCAGCCAGAAGCTACGATGGCAGCCCCATCTGCAGACCAGCAGTAGCGTCATCTGCCTCAGCGGTTGGGATCGCTCGGAGTGCTGCCACCTGTCGGCCAGGCGTCGGACGATGCTGTCGGTTGCGGTCGTCAGTAGGCAGTTGTGTGCACTTCGCTAACTGACGTCAGTCAGCTGGCAAGTCATTCACATACTTGGTGATTTGGGACGAGTCCGAGTAAGCCTAACTTAAAGCGACGTGAAGTTTTCAGCAGGATAGATCCACCGAGGGCACTACGCTGTTTATAAGATAATATGCGGCTTTGCTTACACTGACCAGGCTGGTTTCATCCACACTACTGGTTTCATCGACAAGTGCCATAGTTCTTCAAAAGCTCTACCATAGGTTTTAAGGCATTTGTATGTAAGCCGTTAGATAAGCCAATGTTTTCCTGCAACATTGCAAGACGACCAAAATTTAGGGCTCCCTGTTCGACCGACATGGGAAACGTAAATGTTGCACATGGCGAAACACTGACGTAACAACGGATCAGCAATAGGGCGCAGATTTCGACGGCTGGGGATCGCAGTGACTGTGTACCTATAAATCAGATTTGATGGAGAGAAGAGAGCGTAGTGGCATTCACGAACATGCACGATACTTATATCAGCAGATCTCGCGAGCTCGAGAGAAAAATAGTTATTTCTCACATAAATTGATGTGACGCAGGCAAAGAGACATAAGCCCTGACAGCCGTACAGAATCAATCAATTTCGGCTAACAGCATGCCGTAATTTGTGTAGTTCGCCCTTACTTGGCCAAAATCACCGTAAACGCAGATATATGTAGTCATGAATCCTAGTGCGTTTACAAACCATGCCGTCGCTGTTATTGTGAAGCGTCACGTGGAAATCACTATATAAGGAAACTTATTCGCAGCATCCACTGCACTCATAATTCACATGATCAGTGATATGACCCGTGTGTGCCGGTCTCGAGGGAAGCCGTCATAAAGGCATCTTGAAAGGTACCGCCCGCGGGGTTTTGATGTCACCTGGAGGGGGATGTGATAAGGTGCGCAAGTTCTGGCCTCTGTGCACATATACCCAGTGCGATTTACAAGTCGCTACGGTGCGTGGCCCAGACATAAGTACCGGTTGTGGTAAGATCAAACCGGTGGGCTCTTTATATCACAAAATGCTTTTCAAGCTTTTCAAGCTTTTCCGCAAGAGTTACGCCTAGCTGTCGCGCCCCGTTGGGAAGGGTTGGATGTAGATTATCCTTGAGGCATATGAGGCATGCTTTTTGTGTGCGAACGTCATCTTTCGATGCGCGAACATTGGTCATGCCCCTTTCCAAGGTATTTCGAAGATATAATCGCAAAACATTTCGATGTCGGAAGTGTGTGTTTGCCAGTCTGTTCCTTTCGCCATTCCAAGCTTCATCAAGGAAGATGTGGAGGAGTAAAATGCACTGTTCACGGACAAACATCAGAACATGCAGTCCATAATCCGAGAAGACAATTTATCAAAAAAGCAAAGCGAAATCACTGACAACATGCCGTAACTGCGTCAGCGAGCACGCTAGAATTAGGAAGATCCCTCGAGCTCTGGTCAGGAGCAAACGGAGGCCTCAGCAGGTCAGCAACTACAGACATGGAGGTAACACAGGCGCGCACACTGATGAAGGGATGGGCGCATGGGTCACTGACCCTCCTCCAGCAACCGCCGTTCTATTACATACCTCTTCCGATGCTAGCGGGCATTGTGGAAGCACGTAATAGAAGCGCCCGAAATTTGTCTTCATTTAACGCTTCTTACACCAGCACAGCAATGTTGTGGAAGCTAATATGGCGGGCCTTTCGGGCGCTGGAATTATATATTTCCCGATATCCAAGGGTCCCGCACACCCAAATGGAAGATCAGCAGACCGTGTGCGTCCTCGTGGGTGCACCACGATCTCGGTGATAACCAGCCCGAACGCATTTGATAAGGTGATCTTTGAAGTCTTGAAAAGTAGCATGCACCTGTAAGAGGATTAATTTGTGAGGCCAGTTTCCAGCCCAATATCCATCGCGAGTAAACTGCACTGATTCTTGCCGCTCAAGACTGGTCCACATCGCTGTCCATGGCCGCTTGAAACTGACGAACACGTGTTGCTATTGGTGTATGAACTCAAATTGCGCCAACCCGTTGCTGATCAGGAGTGAGACGCTGTCGTCTGCTATCTCTCGAGGTCAAGAGGGTCACTCGATGATCCCGCCGCGCACCAGCACGCAGCGCTAGTGGGCGGGGCGGCCCCTTGACGGCCGCCAATCAGCGCCAGAAGGCGTGGCTTGGCCGCGCCTCAGCAGCCGGCCACTTGTTCGCCGTCCACTGCCGGCCGTGCCGCCACCGTGGCGGGTGCTGTGTTGACCTCACGTCCCTCGGTCGGGACCATGGAGCCCGGGGCGCGGACGGTGGAGCCGCGGCTGCGCGGCCTGCCGCTGCCGCCGCTGCTGCAGGCGGTGGCCCGCCGGGAGCCGGTGCCGCCGCCCTGGCTGCTCGGCTTCCTCTCGCACTCGCTCTTCGGGCCCGAGCTGCTCACGCCGCGGCCCAGCAGACCGCGCAAGCGCTACATCTGCCGCTACTGCCAGCGCGAGTTCAGCAAGAGTTACAACCTGCTCATCCACGAGCGCACGCACACGGACGAGCGGCCGTTCCCGTGCGAGGTGTGCGGCAAGGCGTTCCGGCGGCAGGACCACCTGCGAGACCACAGCTACATCCACCTGAAGGAGAAGCCGTTCAAGTGCGAGCACTGCGGCCGCGGCTTTTGCCAGGCGCGCACGCTCGCCATGCACCGCGTCGGCTGCGCGCGCCAGAGGGCGCCGGCGGCGGCCGCCTCGTCCCGCGGCGGGCGGGACGAGCTCGTCCACTCGGCGGGCGACTCGTCCGGCAGCGAGCCGCCGAGCAGTCCGGCCGAGCGCGGCCGCTCGCCCGAGCGGACCGCCGCCGCGCCGCCGCCTGACGCGTGCTGGCCGCTCTCACCGGCCGGCCTGGGCTGGACCCGGGCCGCGCGCCACCTGTCCGAGGCGTCGTCCTCGCCGGAGGACCTGAGCGCGGCGTCCTCCGCGCGACGGGGGGACAGACGCCACCCCTCACGCGAGGACGGGCCGGGCTCGCCTCAGCGGATGACGACTCTCGCCGGCAGCCAAATGTCCTCGACTCGGACGGCCCGCACCAGCAGGACGGCCTTCAGCATAGCCGACATTCTGGCCATGTAGACGCGCTGGAAGAAGACCGTACAACCAAGTATCTCTGTCAAGGGAGGCCGCTGGATACTGCCTACCGCGGCGGGCAACAAAGCTGAGGGTATAACTAAGTGATGGTATTGTACTGGCGGGCTGTGTAAAATGTATTGCGCGATGTGTGTTGACCGATATTTGTGCGTGTGAATCGTCGCGCAGGACAGTCACGCAAGGAATTCGGGAATGAGCGTTGTAAGCTGCACTCGCGTTTTCCAAGACCAGCTTGTTAAGACCGCAGCAATGTTTTTCGCTTGTAAATGTGTGTTTTGTTAAACTGAATGATTATCCATGACCATTGACGTGTTATAACGTGTAATCTGGGAAACCAGTACCCAAATGTGCCAAACCGTTCGCGTTGCCGTAACTACGTTTGAACTTAAATGATATATTTTTGTACTCTCGCACTTGTACCAGTGCACCAAAATTCGGTGCACAAACGTGGCTTGTGCTTGGTGGTTTGTGGTTCGTGTTTCGTGGTTCGGCGACGGTGGATGAAACACGGTTCGTGCTTAGTGTTTCGGTACTCATGAGACTATCTTGGATCAAAAATGATTGTCGACAGCATGCTATGCATCCTGAATATTTTTGTGTATACATGTGATGATTGTTTCACGTCATATGATACATGAGCTTATTGTGCATCATGAATACATGTGATTAATGACATCGCTTAACCCGCCATTTTCGTCGGCATAGCTGAGTTGGTTGAGAAAAATGACGTCTCTCCAGGCGTCATTTTTGGTGCCACACGTATTGATTTTGAGGGGGTGCGGTCTCCTTCCTCATTTTTATTTTTAACTTTCTGAACTGGACCGGAAGCCTGAGAAGCTGTCGGAAGATGCAATTATGCGTGCATTATTTTTAAAGCTTTTGCTGAAGGTACTGAGCGTTAAATGACTGCATGAAATGGACCACCAGCGCCCAACATTTTACAATGGTTAAGTGGATCTTTCGTAACCGATATCACTCAGAGGCTTTGGCAGATTTTTATGAGGTCTACAGAGATACTAAGGACCTCGGGAAAGTTGGCTGTGGATCGTAATGGCGTCAACATTTGTATTGGCATGGCTAAGCGATGTTCGTCTAGGAATGTGCAAGCTTCAATCAGAATTTTTGATAGAAAAATTATGTAACACAATTTTGGACATGCGCGCTCGCAAATCTCGGGCATGAAAACACCAACGCTTGGCACTGCAGTCCCCAGTGGTCGTGCGGCGGCGGCCCCGCGAGTAGCACCAGGCGACGGTCAATAGGCGAACAAAAATGATGGCGCCTCTGGAAAATTACCTCTCACCGCCTTGGGATATTAATTGGTACGTTTGAAACGCAGCCCTCATGGACATTTCACCCACGTTTTTCAATTTCTAATGACACGATTTAGCATTTACAGAACCGGGAACTGGTGCTGGAAGCTGGTGGTGGAGCTGGATTAGAAATGTAACTTTTCAGTTTTAGAATACCCGCACCCACTCTACACCCGAATCTGAAAACCTGCATCCGCCCCGCAATTCAAGGTTCCTCCACCTCTCAAGCCTCGCATGGTCCTACCAACCATATTTTTCATTTCAGGTACGTGCACTTAACCTCATCGTAATGTAAGGATCGAGACAAGGGTTTATAAATATATTAGCATTATTAGCTCACCCGTTTTTTATTAACATTGAAAGAATTTTGTTTTCATTAAATTCAACATTTGGAACTATGGCTTTTTTGAAGAGACTGCTGAAAACCAACGCATACAATCCTCTTGATCCTAGATATAGAAGACAATTTTTGTCCAGAAAAATCCTTTTGGTCTTCCAGTAGACTTTTTAAACGGAATCAAACACGCATACCTTCGAGGGAAAGAAATAAAACAACTCCAACCAGCATCAGAATGTAGGGGCCGAGACTGAATAACATAAGCCTGGGTTGACATGCTGACACTGCAATCCTTTATCAACATATATGTAGGCATGTCTTTTGTAAAAGTGACCATCCAGAGTTCAAAGGTGGCAGATGCTACAAACCAGCCAAGTTGTCAATTTTCCAAGGAAACATTGGCATATACACTGAAAAATGGAGAGCCTCACACAGGAATATATGTCGTGGAAAGAAAATGAAGAACAACGTTGTCCACGACCAATGGGGCCTGCAATGACAACCTTTCCAATTGTATAGACAATAGTATGTACCAGAATGATGGCTAATTACTCTGGTCTGCGTCTAGTAATATCGTTGAGAGTTTAACTAAAACTATGTGTTTTAAGTTGGATGTATGCTCCAAATGCTTTCAGCACGGATGCACGCGGACCGACGCCAGCCTCGGCATCCTCATGCCGCATGGCAGGTAAATGATTGGCGCAGAGGGCGATTATAGTATTTGGTGGAAAACCAGTGCGCCATAAATGATCTCATGCCTTGCCCGTCAACAGCTGATAGCCTATTCAAACGTGACTAGCAAATACGGGCTCGTCCGTGCGCCATGTAAAGTCGACCTTTATGTGTGCGTCCGAGCTCTTTGAACAGCTGACGTCATAGATCAGTCTTTGCCAGCCTGCGTGTTCCGATTTCCTCGTTCGATGCGCTGATATTGAAACTTTGCTGGGATCGCTGCGACGGTTTGGTAATCCGCGTTATCCTGTGGTTTTTCTCCTGGCTAGATACCAGATCAGTGTGCACAGTAGCAGAAAGCGCTGCTGACTAAAGTTAAATAATTTGCAGATAAGGTCTGGGCTGCAGAAAACTGGATTGGTTCGCTGTTATGGATTCTATAATGTTTTGGAATTTGTAAGCAGGTCACGCTCTGAATACAATCCACGTACTGGGTGATGTTCGCTGTTTGAATATGTTTTATCTAGTTGCATCTATCAGATGTGCGTACAAACTATTGTGTGTTCGCATGCGATCCGTGTTCTCTGTAACCTGCGATTTGTTCGTGCAAGTGGTGTGAAAAAAAAACAGGAGAGCAGTTTTGCAAAATGTGCAGGGGATGAGTTGAGCAGTGGGAAATGGCCAAATTTCCCCTGTTGTTGGGCGGGGAGGGGGCTGGAGCTGGAGCCCATTAATTGAGTGGAAAACTATGCCCATGGATTGTATGGGATGAACTGGATTTCGGATTAAAATTGGATATTGATTGATTCATATCGGATCATTTCGGAATGTTTCTTCCTGTTGTGCTGATATTTCTTCCTTTCATAATGTATAGTTATATAATTACACTGAACTATGGGTTAGACAGTTAACTATGGCAGCTTACTCTTGCAGCTACAGCATGGGTAGCTGTAGCTGTGGGTTATTTGTCCATGAAATTGTATGTATTGCGTAACTGGAAAACTCACAATGAAATGTAGGTTTTCTATCTTATCATTCTTTGGTGCAAATTAATTATTTTCTTATCAGCATTTGATATCAACAATTGCAAGTTGATTATTAATAAAGCTGTATGTATGTATGCAATAAAACATTAGTGAGGAAATTTGAGATGTAAAATGAACGCCAATAAGCGCAATGCAGTCAGCAATACCAGCTAAAAGCAGTCCGAGGTTTTGTTAGTCCGAGGTCAGTCCGAGCTTGCTCGATGTGGGTCTGCGGGCTCAAAAGTGGCGGCTCTACATGGGGTGCCTAACGGCTGTCATTCTAGCGACGCGGGGATGTGGTCCCCGTCCGATCTGGAGGCGGTAGAGGGATGCATCATGCATTGGTCCCCTTCCTGATGTGAGAAGCCCTCTTACCAATCAGGTGGCTACAGATCGATGCAGGATTGCTCATTGGCGCAACAAGATCTGTTGTGTCCCCGCAAGTGGATCACTAATTGACACATGGACTCAAATTTAGTTAGTCAGGCATTAGGTTTTAAGTGCGAGTTTAAGACTTCAGTTCAGCTTAACGGTTCTTTGGCTGAACTGGGTTGGAAGGCCACTCGTTTGGCGCTGGATGCACTAACTGATACATGGCCCTTCCATTGTGTCACTGTGAATTCTCATCAAAAGTTGTCATATCTCCTTCATTGTCGGAGGGCCCCGACCAATGCAGGGAGCTTTCCGGCGTTCGGGGTCCTGACCCTGTTCAACAAATCTTTCGCAGGTCAAACAAATCACTGTTTCAGGGGCCCCGACGGGTGCAAAGCGCGGGCCCCGGTCCTGCTCGGGAGGTGGCCCCCAGGGCTCACACTGACAAAGAGCCAAGGGTTCGATGTTGGAAGTCACTGACCGAAATAGAGACCCGCTTTGTTCAAGGAGGCTCTCTATTGGTGCAAAAGCTGCTCTAACTGGTATTTGAGGCCACAGCCCAAGGGATCGGTATCCTTAACGTGATCTTCAGCCAGCCCTTCGTGCTCAGTGAGCCTCCAGTCTTCCAATCGGGCCCTTGATCGTCGGTCCCGAATAGTCCATCGGACCTCTCTTCGGGCCCCGTCGAACACTGTTCTTGGCCCACTAGGGCCCCCTTGCCAACACAGGGACCTATGTTAGGCATTGCCACCAAGGCAAATCGCGGGCCCCGGCCTTGCCCCTGCTTGGGAATGGGCCCTCAGGCCGAGACGGACAGAGAGCCGGCCGTTCGTCACAGGTAGTGTCTGACCGGCATAGAGGTCCTCATCGACTCAGGGGTCCCAACTCACCCAAAGGGCCCTTCGACTGGCATAAGAGGACCCCATGCGAAGGGCCGGGACCCTAATACGACTTTCAGCCAGCTCGTCGGCCCTCCAGGTTCTCAAATCAGGCTTTTATTCTTCGGCCCCGAGGGGATACTTCGGGTCCCGAGGGACCTAAGGGTGGCGGGACGTGACCACACCCTCCCCCTTGCCTCCCCCCTACTTGCGTCACTGCTCTCCAGTATCGTGGTTGATGCATTTTCGCTTAATCAACGAAGTCCGCAGTGCGGTTATTTTAATTTTCGAGTCACTACAAACTACACAGCAACCTCATCATGCAAGAGGGCGTTATGCGAAAGAAATGTGTGTTCTACGAAACACCCCACGGCTAATACGAGCGGATCGTAGCACTTAGTATTGTCTGGTATGAGCTTCTCGTCCCCTCTTCCAATTACTCGCGATGTGCAAGTGACCAAAGAAAACAGCGTC